CGGAGTGAGGACGTGCTCAGAATAATGCCACTCTTGCGAGGGAGGAAGGGATTGTCTATTTGTCATGATGTGATGGGCGGTCTTTCATTGAGCAGCCAAAGGCAGCTCCGGGTTGTTCGTGACTAGTGGTGTGGAATGCTGCAAATTAGGACAGGGCAGGGAGGCGGGAGGCCTGAGAGACAGTCAGAGATGTGTTCTTTACAAACTCCAAAGTCAGGGAAAATGATTTTTGTACCTTGAGTTGCTTTCCATTCCCTCTCATGGTAGGATATTAATAGTTTCTTTTTTAAATGTCAATTAAATGATTACTTAAGAATCAGAATAATGCTATGTGTTACCAGTACAGGCTAGAAGGTGACACATATACAAGTGTTATACAAAAATTTAGGGAATAGTAGGGGTCAAAAATGTTCTAGCTTCTAAAAGGAAGATAGACATTTCTATGGCTCTGATGCCCCTGTGCACTGGAAATTATAGTGAGGAATCAATCACATTACAAGTAACATTAGTATGGATGTTCAGATAATAATTACAGTAGCATGCACCTTATTGTTTCTGCTAAGTATAATGAAAGATTTTGTTAGCATTCTTGTAGATAGAAGAAAATATCATTCATCTTATTTCCAAATCATCGGTAGTTTGCTTCAAATAGTTAATCATCTACAAGATATAGTAGTTGCTGCCAGTTTGTGCATCAGAGAAACGGAGAAGGGGCCACAGTGACGCCTGTAGTTATGCAAACATTCCTTTTCCAAACACATAGGATGAAACCAAAACTTCTACTTTAGGATACAAGCAAGGCACTTCTGGCTTCTAACTTATTTTCCCAGCCTCTTAGTTGCCACTCCCCTCCCCCAGTCTTTGGAACTTTGGACTTACTCAGTTTCTCATGCCTCCTTCAAACATGACTTCTAACATTTATTCATAAATGTATGTGATGTGGTTGATTTTCTCTGAACAAGGATTCTTTGCATTGGAAATATATGTGAAGATATAGTTTTATGTTTTAACTTTACCTTATTCGTGTATGTGTGTGCATTCATTCATTTAGAAATATTTATGTGCGAGCCAGGGCGGTGTGTGCGTGCATGTGTGTGTTCCTGTGTGTGGAGATCAGCGTCAGCTGCCTTCTTCCACTTCTGTCTGCCGGTGGGTTTTAGATTTCAGCCGTCTCTGCCTCCTCTGCTCCTAGCTTTAGAATTACAGATAGATGCATGCTACTGTGTCAAGTTGAGGAGCAAAACTCGGGGCCTCTTGCTTGTGTTGTGGTACAAGCAGTTCACCAACTTCCCAGTCCCTGGAGACCTAGTTCTAAAGTCTGTCTTTTGTAAGTACAGCCCTGTCCTCAGGCACCATGAATTTGTGTTGTATAGCTCTTGCTGGTGTCTTCTCCACCCATTAGAGGATAAGGCTAGCTCTTTCCCAAAGGTAGGTATTGCCTCTTTTTATTCTCCTAACATACTAGGCAAAGGCATATCCCCCAACACACACACACACACACACACACACACACACACAAATAAAAGTCCCCAGCAAAATGTGAGCTATCATGTTACATCATATATGTAACATAATCAGGAAGATAGGATTTCCAGGTGAAAATAAACCACAAATTGAAATTGGTAATAAGGTAATCTCAATTTATGAATACTCTACTTCAAGCCTATGGATATTTAATGGACTAAGCTGAAATAAAGAAGGATCTCTCCCATGTATAATTGGAATTATTCTAAAGCTTGATTTTAAAATAAGACATATTTTGTGCTGTTTTAATAATGACCTCAGTTGTCACAAGACTAGTGTGCCCGGTGCAACTTGTGCTTTGCTCTATTCAAAGAGGGTAATGAAAGTTCTCCCATCAGTGGGCAGGAGGATGATTCGTGAGAATTCTCAGGACACTGCCGCTCTGCCCTGATGTCTTCCTGTGTTCATACTGGACTCGGGAATGTGTCCTAATGCACTGGCTCGCTATTAGTAACAGTTGTCACAGCTGACCCGCAAGCTCACTGCTCCTGGGTGTTTAAACAGTTCCTCTGGGGTGCGCAGATAGCACAGCCTTACTTGCCCTGTTAGAGTGCAGGGATGCCATATGTTTAGTGTGTCCTTCTGTGTAGGGATTCTGCAGATGTGTCGGATGACACCCCCTCATGGTGGCAGTGCTAACCCCGTGCCTCTTCTTGCTTTTCTCTGAGGTGTCCAGTGTCAAATGAGACCTTACAAATAATCTTTCCCTCTGGAGCGTCTATCCAAACCTCACTGACTGCAGAGTAAAGTCGCTTTTGTTCAGTAGAAGCTGAAGGACATCTAACACAGAAGCCACTAATAGTTGTTGTGATGGCGTTATCAGAAAGTTTGCAGAGAAGTCGTCACCTGCATGCTGCCAATGGCTGTCAGCGCCACCATTAGAGAAGAGGGTGAATCTGGCGTGAGCCATGGGAAGATTGGTATAGAAAATGCTTAATCCATTGAGCTTTGCAAACTAAAATGTGAACTCTGAGGAAATGGGGGAGAATGGCTTAAATTATATAAAAGTCTAAAGGTTTTGTTGGGCCAGAAACGTGGGTGAATCATTAGATTTTTCTTTGCTCCTCTTAGTCTAGGGCCTGATTGTATATGTTAAGGAACATCCTTGTTGACACGCAACACATGGAAAGCTTCGTAGACGGGAAGATTTAGTGTGAGGTGTGTGTGGTTTTTTTTTTTTTTTTAGTATTTCAATATGAAATCCACAGTAACAAAATCTTGATGAAATAAAAACTTCGCTTTTTTTAAATCTGATTATCATTTCTTCCCGCACAGAAATTGAGGGTATCCTACACCCAGAATCCCGACCTTTTTATTCTCTTCATCAAGCCACTCAACTGCTCAGAAGCTGTTAATATATAGACTCAACTTTGTAACCCACATTCAAAGCCCTGCTCGTTCTGGTTCCACTCTGTCTGGCTTTTCTCTCCAACCACTTTTGAATAGGAGCTGCCCGTTCCCGTAAGGCTTGTGCCCATGCAGCCTCACAAAGGAAATGCTATTCTTAACTCGAGTCTTGCTCACTTAATTTCTCTCTCTCTGGCTCCTCCGCCGCTGCGTATACCCTGTTCATCCATCAGTATCTAGCTCGCTGACTTTCAGCCCACCCCAATCCATCCCTCCACTCTGAATGTCTATGAATGTTAGTGTGCTGGCGGGGGAGGGGATTTGTCTTAAAATGCTTCACATTTCCCCTGATCTTATTCATAGATCTTATTTTCCCATGGTGTTGAGTGCTTCATTGGTGTATCTACTTCAGCTAGCGTTTAATTCTAAGTCAGACATAGCTGCTAGTATAAATTGGGCTTTAATTCACCAATGGGGGCCTGGCGGGGGAGAGAAAGTTGTTTATGCTCTGAAGAAGTCCTCTTTGCCCTTTTTTTTGGGGGGGGAACTGTGACAATGGAGCTGTCCCCCCACATTTCAGCCATTCAGTCACTGCCCAAAGCTTCGGCTAAGCTCCAGACTGGCAGCAGACCCACAGGGCAATGTGGCTCTGAGCCCAACAGAGAAGGTTTGAAGAGATTCCACTGTGTGTGTGTGTGTGTCTGTGTGCGTGTTGTCTGCTTCCCCTTCTTTCCTGAATGTCTCCAGTCATGTGCATGCTCACATACACATATGTGATATATTGGGGTTTTATTCACTCCCTGTTACCCCCTCGTAACTCTTCCTTTTACCACAAACTTCCCACCTAGTCCTCCAGCAGCCACAAAGTGAAAGAAAATGACACCCCTCCTCCAGCCACACTCATGAGTTCTCAGGAAGGGATTGGATAAATGACAGTTTTTGTTTTAAACTTTCTTCGTAAAGTATCAAAGAAACATATCACGGTGGCGTCTTAGATGATCGGTTGAAGTCTGCTCACTTGTCCTTCTTCTGTGTGGTGTGGTGATTGGAGGCTGTTTGGCTTCTCTGTCAGTCGTCATGATATCAGAGGATGCCAAGCGTCTCTGTCGCTCTTCACCTTCCTGTTTCAGACAGGGCCTCTCACTGAGCTGAGGTTAACCAGGGCAGCTGGTCAGAGAAACCAGGGGTTCGATCTCTCTGCCCAGCCTCTGCCTAAGTGCTGGACCATAAGTAGCTGTGACCAAGCCTGGTTTTTATTTGGGTGGGAGGATTTGAACTCAGGTCCTTTTACCTTTTACTCACAGTTCTTACCCAGGGGACAATTTCCCAGCTCTTCTTATAAGTCCCAGTCAGGTAAAGTGATGAGGATTTAGTAAGCACTCTGGTGTACCTACCTACCTGCAATAATATTGCAGACTCCAGGGCTCTGACAGTTCCTGTATAAATCTTGGTTTTATTAACAGTCCCAGAACAAAAGAAAACAAACAAGACTCTCTCTCTCTCTAAACCTCTCTGTGGGAAGTTTATTCAGCCTCCTGGAAAAACGAGTATTTATAAAAATATAATGTTCTGCAGTTAAAATGAAAAAGAAAATTAAAGAATTAACAGATTTATTTTTGGTAATATAATGAAACAATAGCCATTTAGAGAAAATTGACAAATAAGTAGGCAGCCAGAGTATGGCAGTATTGGCTAGGTATCCTTCCTATGGGACCCTTTTCCTGTTTGTGGGTTGGATTCCAAGTCATTTGCTCTACTATTTAAATGTTGACGTACTGTGAGAAAACTGAGGGAAAGAATCATCTTCCAAGAAAAGAACACTATTATTTCCTCTTGTCTTCACATTTTTTATTTTCAAATGTGACTCTTCTTAGTTAGAAAAAAAGTGTGGCTGAGAAGCAAACTTTTTTTTTTTTTTTTTTTTGTGACAGCAAAAACTTTGGTATGGCCCGCTATGGCTTCTCTCCTTGTTGCCTGAGCCAGGGACTCTGGTGCTGCCTGAGCAGGGTGGAGCCTCTTGTGCACTGGCCCTGTGTGGGCGTCTGGGTCAAACTCTTTTCTTTAGAAAACAATCGGGGAGGGGTCCTTTCGGCCTTTGTTGTCCTCTCCAGGAGGTGATGCAGAAAGTCTGTGATGACAAAACCAGTTTGTAACAGGCTTGTCTTTGGGTCTCTCTCGGCTTACTAGCCGGCTTGAAGGGACACCTAGCATCCGCAGAGACCGGTCAAGAAGCTGCAGGCAGAGCACGCAGGTCGCAGCGGCTGCTCTCCTGCAGTGGGCTGGCTCCCAGATCTAGACAGGCAGCTGCTCCGTTCCTTGATCATTCTACAGCCTTTGCCTAGGAGGGTAAGATCGTTGTCTCACACCGCGGTGCTGGCAGGGGCTGAGTTCATGTGTGATTTCAGGGCTTTATCACACGGAAGGAGAGAAGTTCAGTGGCCAAAACTTCTCATTCCCATCCTCCAACTGCTCTGAGTTTCTACTCCTTTCTCTCTCTGGCATAACTCTCTAGAATAATTTATTAGGATAACTGTAAAGTGATTTAAAATTTCTCTTTTTTTTCCTAACAATAATTAATCTCAGTCCAGTTTGGAACTTCGAGTATGAAGTTGCTAATATTCATCAAACTATGAAATTTTGTATATGAAGAAGTTAAGACCATGACGGCATTAATAAACCTTGTTTTGACATTATAATTTGAATTCTGTTAGAATCTGTAGATGGAGGCATTCTACTTGAAGGCCAGGATAATTTTTGTGTGGATGCATTAAGTAAATCTTTAACTTTACAATTTAAAGTTACAGTTTGTGAATGTGTGAAATATTTTTCTGCATTTGAAAACAGGGGTTTGAAATTTAATAATTCAACCAGAATTGTTCTTACATCAAGGTGACGAAAATATATTAATTTTAAAAAATGTTTTAATTGTTTGAATGAAAGAATCATAATTTTAAGAGTGAATAAACTTTTTAAGTTAGAAGGAAGGCAACTTGAGGAACATGAGATACTTTTCTGTGGTGGTGACAGGGTGTGTTTCAAGTTTGTGCATGTGTATTTGTGCATGTATACATATAAGTATGTATCTGTGTACATGTGTGTATAAGTATGTATCTGTGTGCATGTGTGTTTGTATAAGTATGTATCTGTGTGCATGTGTGTTTGTATAAGTATGTATCTGTGTGCATGTGTATTTGTGCTTCTACTCATTTATCTTGCAGCACAGTAACTGAGGGTATAGACCCTAGGTCTAGCATGCCTCCCTTTGAAACTTAGCTCTACCACATCTTGGATATGACTGTATCAAATAGTGAACTATGATGTCTCAGTTTTCTCTGCCTTAAAGTGGGGCTAATAATTATATTTCCCACACGATTGGTTTAATTACTGAGTGGGCATGTGCAATCATTTAGAGTAATACTCAAGGTATAATAGTTCCAGGAGTTTTATAAATACCAAATTCATCATTAGTAATTAGTTTATACAAGAATAGGGAGTTATGTTGGAAATGGGAAAAATTTTAAATTGTGAAAACCAAATTATGAAGAATCTTAGTGTTACATGCCAAATTCTGACTGATATTTCCAGATTCATCATCAACTAGCTTTAACCTCTTATGATGAACATTGTATAAAATAAACTTCATTTTACTAATGGTTTTGCCTAGATGAATATATAGATTGAGATAAAGGTTGTAAATTTAAACATTGAAAAACTACCAAACTTTGACTGCTAAATTTCAAAGTTTATTGACAACTTAAATGTTTTATAGTAATTAACTGTGCAGTAGTTTGATAATAAAGACATCTCACACACACAAACTGCTGTGAAGCACAGATCCATGCAGTGGTGGTCATGACTCTGAAGCCAGCAGCAAAGCCAAAATGAATATGCTGAATCTTAAAACCTCGTTTAAAGTGTTTCAGAAGGATGGAGGTGATATCTGAAAAGTATGAGCCCTAAAAGATGTGTACAGCCTTGCTGCTTTACTCAAAGTGATCCCGAATTGTGTAAAGGCAAAGTAAGTAAAAGGGAGAACTCTTCTGTACTTAGGACAGTGGTATGGATGGCCTGTGTGTAAGGTAACTGACCAACTTGGATCTTTCCACTACCTAAATCTTACCTCAAATATTCCACTTGAGCCGACAGAGGTTTAAAAAAAAAAAGTGAAGCAAGAATAGTTCTTGAGGGAGATTTTGAATGTCATGGCTTTTACATTAGGATACTAACTGTTTTAGAAGTGAAATTTTGAAAGCTAGTAGGTGTTGTGATATTGCTTTCCTAAGAGTGAAGATATGACCCTTAATGGGAAAATCTGTAGTGTTCATTAATTCTTCAAACAGATTTAAAGTGGAAAACACACACACACACAAACACACATACATACACACACACATCTTGACATTAGTTATGAAAACATGCTAGAGGACTGTTTACACCATAAAGAATGCTACAGCATATAGACGGTATTAAAATTATATTTTGGCATCTAACACTGAATTCTGATAGCTTGTCCCCTATACAACCATGATGTGGTTTTATATCAGTAAAATTAAACCAACAGTGGTATTTATATTTAATTCCAGAGAGTGATTATGTTAAAAAAATAGAGGCAAAATAGGAAGTAGGAATTATATTTTTTAAATACAAAATATTCCCAATCCTAATGAGCAAAAATAGATCTTGGTCTCCAAGGTCCCTATAACTTTTTATATCCCAGATTTTACATCCTGTTTCTTCACTTCCAGGCAATTTTATACAGTTTCCTAGTGTAACATATTTGTAGCTGACCTTGCTGGCACTTGTATATAGTCTGAAAATCTATTATGAAACATTTAAGCAAACTTGAGGGAAATAGAGCATCTATTAGTTGGAAGGCAATGACAATGGCCGTGCCCATGTGGTCTCAGACTAGATATAATGCTGCTGGGGACCAAGTTTTGGTAATATTTTAAGTGAAAAATGATCCTTGTTACCATATGGCGAAATACGGTGCAAAATCTGAACTGTTAGACCGACACAGCTGTCACATACATGCATGTGTTTAAAGTGTTCTCTACTGGAGCTATTATGTGGCATTTCCAGAGATTAATCTGGGGCTATTAGTTGGCAGGAACTGCGAGTTGTGGTGGAGATCACAGATGGGTGTAACATGATCTCTGTGGTAATTTACCTGGGAGGAAAGTGACCAAACTAGGGTTTTCAACCTAAACTGTCCAGCATGGACTGGTTAAACAACTGTTAGCTATAGATTCAAGTGATCTAGTTTTATCTTTCCATGAAAAGGTAGTCTTAAAAAGGGCTGACGACCATACATGTTTTATGTGTATGCATGTCTGGGCATCCATAATTTTAAACTTTAAGTTACAACCATGTGAAAGCCTTTGGGAGACTAATAGCATTAGGTACGTTAGAGCGCCATTTTATCCTCTGTAAGCCAGTGAGTGCAAAGAGGCACCTTACAAAACCCTTATCTATGGAGATCTTTCAGGAGCAAGTCAATGGGGATACTTTTCCACAACTTCTCAAACGTATATTTATTTTAAAAATTCATAGAAAAAAATGGAAGATGTTTTCAATAAATAAAAGCAAAAATAGCTAACTGTACAAATTATCTTAATCTGCTCTATTTTCTGTTGGTCTGATTTTCTTCTGCTTTGGTCTATATGAACTCTTAGCATCTGCTTCTGTTCTCTTCTGTAAGTAGTTATTTTGTAACTTGAATAGATCTATGTTTTTTTAAAAAATAGTATTGAAACACACACAGTGATTTTGTGACTCTGCACTAAGAATAATGTTGTTGATGTTCTAACATCCTCCACCATTCTGTAACTCTGAGAGCAAGGTATGGCTTAGGAAGAACTCATTTTCTCAGTTGCTATCTTTGGTCACATTCTTTAGTCTCCATATACCATGACATAACTGGGCTGGGGAGATGGTTACTGGGTAATTGCTTGCTGAGCAAGCATGGGAATCTGATTGACACCTCAGAACCCACATAAAAGATGAACATGATTGCACAGGTTTATGATCACATTGCAGGGGAGGAAGAGATAGGGTCACAGGGCTTACTGGCCAGCTAGCTTTGTCTACTGAATGACAGTGATACACCCAGACAGGGAAGATGGTGCCTGTGGGATAAGCCTGAGATTGACATCTGTCCTGCACATGTAAAAACACACTTGCACATGCCCCTAAATTCACATGTACCCTTAAAAACACACATTCACACATATACATACATATACTTACTACATTATTTGTGGGATTTTTTTTGGTTATAAAGAACAAATATTTTAGTAGAGAAGAAAAGTTGAATGTAGACATGGGTAACACCAAAAGGGAGTTTACAGCTTTTCAGGTAGACCAGAAGGCCCACAATTCATCTTTAGACTGTAGCTGTTTTTTTACTAGCTGGGCATTGGACTCCTTGACTTTTCATTGCCTACCTGTTCACCAAATACTAAAATCCAGACCCCTTTCTGACTCAAGTATTTCTGGAATACTGTTTTCATAACCTGGAAAGTTCTTTCCATTTCTGCTCTGCCCATTTCTGTTTGCTTAACTGTCATCTTGTTAAAATTTTTCTGCACAGTCAAAATTAAATTTCATATTGTCTGTCGCTGTAGGTTTCTATTTCCTTTTAACATATGATTTATCATTCAATATGATTCACTTGGTAGAAGATTACACCTCAGAGGAAAAGCTGTGTCCTGCATTCATTGCTGCCTCCTTAGTGCATAGCATCTACATGCATGGTGTAGAGAGGCATTTGCCTTGCTGGATGTCCTGATTTCCCTTGTGGCTTACATTGTTGAGAGGCATTGGTACTGCAAGACATTTTGGGGTGGGGGAACTTGTATCTGCAGAGTTAACTGATAAATATTTCAATGTCTTGTATTTTTAACATCTGGAGAGAGAAATTTGTTAATCTACTGACCTTAGAATAGTCAAATGAACCCAGCTCGAATATTTACCACCTATTACCAAGATAGTCTGGCAGTAACGGGCACTGTGGACAGATACAGTTGTGAAAGAAGCTTTAGTTTTAACTCAGAATCAGAAACATTTAGGGTTTAGAGGAAGATCTTTTGACTAGCATGCTGTAGTCCCTAGGGGCTATCTCCAGCATTTCAAAAAGTGTTATTTAATGTAAGTGTCATTGTCACTATGAATGTTCCCAGAATCCCCTGTTGATGGTGGATTGCTGTTAGCTACTAAGTAGTGTAATTATTAAGTATATTTTAAAAATTAATAGTTCTTACTAGAATTTAATTAGAAAAGGACTAATAGTTAATGCTATCACAATTCAATGGTTTCTACAGAATTGTCTTGACAGGTGTATAGTA